GATGTATGAACATATTAATCGTTCAAGAAAATAATGTAATGATCAAATAGGACAGGAAGGTTATAAGTTGCAAATTTCAAAATAAAAGAGAAAAAAAACATTTACTTTACCTTAAACAAAATAAAACATAAGGTCAAATTTCACAATAAGATAACTTGGGTTGGTCATATCATAAGGTCAAAATTCATGATAAGATAACTACATTGTATTTTATCACCTCAATATGGAGAACTTGAGCTGAACATATCATAAGGTCAAAGTTCACAATAAGATAACTATTAATATCACCTCAGTATAGAAAACTGCAGCTGATCATATCATTAGGTCAAAGTTCACTATAAGATATCTATGATTATCACCTCCACATGGAGAACTGTGGTTGGTCCTTTGAGTTAGAGGTAGCCTCTTCCTGGTCCGCTAGGACATCGCCCGTCACTGCCGCGTGGATGAACGGGTCACTGTTGTAAGCGTACGCTGACTCGGGGCGACTGTCCGAAGCCTGGTCAAAGGAAACAAAGGTTCAAAGAATAAATAAAAAACTTATAACAGTGTGCAAATGTCAAATAAAACACATGTTCATAGGAATAAATAATAAATTTGATAAAGTTGTGCAACGGTCAAATGAATCATAGGTTAATACAAATAAATAATAACTTATCAGTGTGCAAATTTCAAATGAAACATAGGTTCATAGGAATAAATAATTACACGTACTTTTAATTTTTTTTCTTGGGGTCATGATAAGACTATTTTGCTAGAAAATCACATTTTGGGTCAAACTTTCAATTTTGTTTTCAATTTTATCAAAATTTGTAGCATTATTATTTATATATTTTTTTTATAATTGTATAAGATCCTCCAATAAAGCTTTTTTATACCTTATAATCAGAAATAGATGTATGTAAAATTCAATAGGACCATCTTTACAAAATTCTTTAACATTCCAGGTCATTATATATTTTTTTCTTTTTCCTCTTACCCCGTCAGCAAATATTTTGAAATTGTCTGGAAAAAAGATTTTCCCACCTACCTACAGACCCAATAATTTTAATTACCCTGAGTAGGGAGAGGGCAAACAAACATTATTTTAAAGATGGCTTAAATATATCAAAATGAAAATTAAAAAAAAACTATATCAGTAAAAAAATTTAATTTCTTAATACTAAATCCCTAAAGCACTTGCCATTCTAATACTTCTTCTGGGCTGACTGTCATATACAGCTGGACCTCCTGGAGCCTTTATAATGAAAATTAAAATCAGTTAGCAGATATTTCTCAAAAATTCTTCATCTCCAAAAATATATTCTCAAGAACCGATATTTCTTCCTATAACCAAAAAACAAAATTGACCCAAAGAAATTATTTTATTTCACAGTATAAATGATTTTTGATGCAGAACAATCTAGTATAATTTTATTTTCTATATACCCCGGTACCTTTTTAATGACACTTTTCTCAATGAGCTCCCATCTCGGTGTTCTTTCTAATCCCAAGGCCGCAAAGTGAGGCCAGACTTTGTCTGAAGCCGAGGCGAAGTCCTTGGGTGTTCTAGATCAAACAGAAATTTCTAAATGTCATATTTTTTTCTTTTTTGAAAAAAAAATTACTCTTGGATTTTATTTAATCCACTAGATTGATTGATAGATACACGGACATGTATTCATCAATATTTATTCACCTGGAACTACAATAAAAGTTTGTTTTTACTATAAACAATTGTTATAATAATGGACTATCAATTAATTAATTTGATTAAAAAAAAATGAACTGTGTAAAAAGAAAAAAGGGTTATTCCCCCCCCCCCCCAACAACAAAGTTGAAGGGTAGATAGATATGGGCTTGTCTGCTTATGTGTGTGTGAGTGAATGAACATGTGCATAACTTCCCTTATTTTATGCAAATATTGGAATCCATGCTCTCTTTTGTCAGAAGATGCTCAGCTTTGTTTTGCCTTTGTTTTCTTTTATATCATTATTTGTAGTAAAAAAGACAAAAAAGCTCAGTAAAGTTTGTCAAGTTTGATTTGGTTGTTATTTTGAATGCAGTTTAATATCTATTCTACTAAATCATTAATTTAGTCTTTAATTGCATGTGGTAAGAGTCTTTCTAAAACATAGATTATTTTCCAACAGATTTTACCTGCCCTCTGAGTCTGGAATTTCTGGATTGGCTCCATTTTCTAAAAGCACCATGACAACCTAAAACATAGCACCATGACAATCTGTAAAAATAATTCCATGACGTTTCCCCACAAAATAAGTATGCTTGTAAAAAACATTTTGAGAGTATTGCATGAGGAATAAAAATTCTCAATTGTTTTTTCAATCAAAGATTAACAATCTTATGCAAACTTGATCTTTTCTTCTTCATAATCTAGAGACCCACATGCAATTTGTATATATACTCATTCAAATAAGCATAAGCTCACATATTCACAAAATCAGGCCATTAACAGACAAAGGTAAGGAAACTTACAGGTCCGTGTTCCTGAAATGTAGCAGCATGAAGGGGGGTCCACAGGGTTCCCTTGTTTTTAAAGTTAACATCTATAAGTAAAGATATCCAATAAAATAATAAGTTTAATTTATTAATCAAATACATGTAACTTACAGCAAAGAAAGGCTCAGATTAGATTTATTAAAGAAATAATATCAAGTCAGTTTTTGATATGATATAAAGTGTTCTATTTACGTATTGAGGGTTTTGATAATATGCACATCAGTAAATAAATACTAATACATATTAATATATTTAAAAAAAAATAATAAATTAGACAAAAGACCCTATGCATTCTATTTTTTTCTGTTTACCATCCATTCACATCTTGGTTTTGACCCCTTTAACAAAAAATAACTTGCACACACAAAAGCTATGGTATGAAAATTGATCTTTATGGTTGAAATCTTCTCAATCATGTCAATTTCTTTTTACGTTTGTCATAAATCTGTCAAATACTACTCACATGTATATAATATACAAACTTGATTTTGCACAGAAAAAAAATTCTACAAGAAAGCTAGATTAATGAAATAAAATTCTCAGATTGAAATCAAATATATCTTTTTAAAGTGTGTTTTAATTTTCTGGTTGTTGATTTTTGTGAATAATAAGGTTTTTTCTTAAATAGAATGTGTAGAAGGAGGAAACTGCATAAACAGAGAATATAAATTGGAATGACATGGTTAATACATTAATTATGTTGAAAATCACAATGAATGAAGCCTCGTTTTATTACAGAAAAAAATCTTACCAACTCCTCTTGATAAGAGTTGCTGAACAATATCTCTCATTCCCCAAAAGCATGCTGAAAAAAAAAACAGGTATTCAGAGGTATCAAAACATTGGAATGAGATTTAAGTATATAATAAAAGTTCTATAGTATAAGGGTATATATGTAAGACTCCAAAGTCCGATGGTGATGCCAAAGTCCGATGGTCTCGCCAAACCTTGATGGCTCATTCTCTTTACGGATGCCAAAGTCCTATGGTCACGCCAAAGTCCGATGGCTCGTTTCCAATGAGACGCGTGACGCTAAAGTGCGATGGTCTGACACGCCAAAGTCCGATGGTGCGGAGGAACAATTAACGTTTATGACATCACAAAAGTCCGACGTCATGACGTTCTTCTGCATTCAAAATCCATTGATTCAGTATTCATCTCCCATACATTTTTACTGATATTGCTTTTTGTTTTCGCCCAACAGAGGTATTAGGGTTAGTCCTCGTACACCATTCGAGTGATAAGGGTTAGTCCTTAAACACTAATGTGTTTCTTCGAACCCACCCAAGAGATTTTAGGGTTAGTCCTCGCACACTATTGGACTGATATAGATTAGTCCTGCACCCAGTTATGATATTTAGGTTAGAGTTGATACTCATTGTTCGACTGATAATTCTTAGTTTCGCACCTACATCCAAAAGACGAGGTGTAGTCTTTGTATTTATGATATTTTGTATATATTCATTGGCATGGCGTGGCATCGCATTTTTGAGCAGTAGTACTATGACGTCATAAACGTTAGTTGATTTCCGCACCATTGGACTTTGGCGTGTCAGACCATCGGGGATTAGTATACCATCGGACTTTGGAGTCCCATAGCACTTTGGAGTCCCATATATATATACATGTAGATATTTTCCTTGAGAGACAATATCTTTTACCGTTTTATTTCAACAGTTTTAATAGGGACACTTACATATATACAGCTGACTCTGAAGAACCTCAGGTCCTGATCCCTGTAGACGTATGTTCTCTGTTAGAAATTTCTCCACCAGCTATTAAAGAAAAGAAACGGTTTTAAGGAAATACCATAGTTAACATGTATGTACATATAAAAATGCTGCTGTGCTTAGACATTTCAACATGTTCAATAGTTTATTACTAATTTAACTCAATGTAATGAAGTTTAAGCTACAACAATTCAATTTTGTTAAGATGCAATTTTATTTTAATGTTTGTTAATCTGAATTTAAATATGACATATATACATGTGAAGAGTCTTGTTCTTAGAACATTAAAGAAATTATCTATTACCCCGGTATGCTTAAATTTAAACAGATCAATGTGAAAAAAAAAAAATTAAGATACTTTAATGCATACATTTTAAAAAAATTTATAGGAAAGTAATAAGGCTCACACCATTCATTAATATCAACTACAAACTGTAAAATACATGAAGGATCTAAAAGGTCAATATGTCCACAACATCTAGATCAGTAGATGGTTTAGAATCTTCTACATTTGTAGACTAAGTTACTAGAGAACTGTCAAAATTTCCAATCTGGACTTCATCTATAGTAATTTATTTGCAAATCCTTATTAATAGACCACAAAAGCTAAAGCACTCTTAAGGACAATTGCCAGATTTAAGTGTTTGCAGATGAAAATAAATAACAATTTTTTACAGGTGCTTCCTTGCATTAATGTTTCCAGCTAAATTAGGATTTAACTGTCAAAATTATATCTTTTTGCTCACAATATTTATCAATCTACAAATTATTATTAATTCAAATACTGGTACTACCATGCTGCAAAAATAAGCAAATTTAATTGGAACCCGGCTAAAGATTGATTGATTGTTATTGTTTAACACTGAGTCAGCAAAATATCAGCCATATTTCTGTGGGAAAGAATCCAAAAATATATGGTAAATGTACAAGATACAGTTAAAGCTCATATTTTTGGACTAAGAAAAATGCTTAAGATAATTCCAAGGATTGGAGAAACTATAAGTTCAACTGTATATACATGTAATCAGAGGAAATGTCTTATGTGAGTAAAGTAGACAACATGTAGAATGAGGAATTTATAGATACACATAGAGAGCAAGGACTGGAAAAAGTAAGGGTCTAGATTATAAAGGTCTTAGAGACTTTGGTCTACCAAATAGTCAATTTTTGTGAAAAGTTTCACACAATTTGCACAAAGATAGCTTATGAATTAAAGGTTGTGCTTTTGACATGTCACATGCAGTGATACACGTAGCTGCAGAACTGTAGCTCTCTGCTTGAGAAAATTTGGACAGATAAAGCAGAGCTACAGATCCAAGCGTTGTGAAAACCTTCGATTTAAGCCAACAATTTTTTGCCGCTACTTTAGGCATTTATTTTGTGTAGTTTAAGCTTTCTCTGGCTTTTAGAATGGTATCCTATAATAATTTTATATATTTAGCTCTTATATCTAATACTTTGTTTACATTTTAACGGTCCATAACAGTCCTGTATATCGTTTTGTAATGTCGTTTAAAAGAGTTCCATTTCGATGTCTGTAACCACAAAGAGCCATTTTTTTAGTGTTGAGAGGTAAGTAAATGATCGGAATTGAAGCTGAATGTACATGTATGATTAATTATTAAATACAATTTAAAATGATTTTCAAAGCTGGGGAAAGTACAAAATACACGAAAAAATACCCATAGTGAGCGACAAAAAATTCTCTGCGTAAATCGAAGGTTTTTACAACGCTTGGATCTGTAGCTCTCTGCTTTATCTGTCCGAATTTTCTCAAGCAGAGAGCTACTGTTCTGCTGCTATGATACACGGTATACTATAAAAGTTCTAGACATACAACTGGTGAGAAGTGAATTCAGGTTTAAGTCCAAACACACCTGATAATCTCCCTTGGGCAATGTCCAGTGCTACAGAAAGAAAATAAGAACATTCTAAATACTAACACATTCTGGGGTAAAGGGAAAAAAGCCCCCCTACCCCCAGCACACCTCCCATCTGGCTCCCTCTCAAATGAGTGTAAAAAAGATGATATCTGACAAAGCCACACTAAAAGTAACTTTTCATCTCCTGAACCAAAGATATAGTGAAGCCACTCTAAAAAATACCAGACCTGGTTACTAATCATCACTCAGACAGAGGGGAAATCTGACAATCTAACAAAATAAATGGGATATTAAATCATACCAGATCATCTCCCTGTTGCGCTAATGTTGAAAGCTGTTCAAATGGCACTTGAGCCGTTCGTAAATGTGTTTGTAAATCTCTCAAGACGGTGAAATCTTCTGACATTTTATGTGTTGTCAATCACGCTCCGAGTTGTCTCTGTCAATCTTAGTCTTTAGAACGCTTTGAAAAATAATTGAGTAGGTTGTTCTTAAAATCTTAAAGGTTCTTACATTTGAAGTTAAAATTTTCTCAAATTTTCTGTATAATATCATGACATATATATAGCAAATAGCATTTTACACAAAATTGTAACACAAATCTTATTTCATCTTGAAGTTATTGAAACTTCGAATTACGGGAGCGTTTGATAGACACATCCTTGCACTTTCACAATTTTTTTGTTTTATTGTACAGGGAATTTGAGAAAATACTAAATTCAAAAATGTGTCTAAGCACTTTTAATTAATGAGTATTTTCAAAATACCTCGAAAAAACATAAGACACAGAATACATTATCCCGAAACCAAAATAAGCCGCTGGCGGCGGATTTAGAGGGAGGTACGGGGGGGGGGGGGGCTCCCTCCTTTTGTGTCCACAACATATACGTAAGATTTAAGATATCAATTTTATCCGGCCCGCAAACTGGTCGGACCCTCCTTTTCAAGATCCCTGGATCCGCCACTACAAGCGGCTATGCATCAATTGTGACATATGGTCTTTCTCAATCTCTCACCAGAGGGCGTGTAAGCGGAGCGCGCCCTCTGGTGAGAGATTGGGTCTTTCTTTGGGTACATGTACATCAACATACTTGACCTTCACCTTAATTAGAGTTTGATTAGTTTTACTTTAATTCGCAATAAGTTAGACTACATGTAGATATTGTTTATTGTTCCGTCTAGGTCTGATCCATACATACATGTAGGGCTCACAGCGATCGAGTGTGGCTGGTCAGCAGGGGGATACTCACTCCTCATAGGTCCTGTTTTATGCCCTATATTCACCTATTTGTATTGTTTATAGAATTTTTGATCACTGTTCATTTTCTTCATCTTTTAATTGTTTCATTAGTTTTTTCATAACTTTAATGCTGATCGGGGTATAGTAAATAATTGAGTAGTAAAAAATAATGACAGAAAAAATTGCAGAGCAGGCAGGTACAATGTACATGTAGATAAATTTTGAGATATTGCTAAAATCATTCATATTCGTAGAATTAAATCATGTTCAGCTCCTCCCCCTTCTTTTCTTCTCTGTCCGTTTCTCTCCCCCCCATCACTGTCCTTGGCATACCTTAGCCATTCTTTGATTGTGTTCTCCATGTCTTTTTAGAATCTCCAGTAGCACTAAAATTGTAATATTTGGTACTTATAATACAATTGTTACTTTTCTCAGTAAAGAGTATACATACGATTAAATTTACAAGTATATCACTATATGTTTAAGCTGTAAATTAAGGAATAACCGTCTTTTTTGTTTCATGGTGTGATTTAAGGAATCACTGTCGTTTCAGAGTATGCCACGGCATCAACAATAGTGGGAAACATAGGATAATCTCTGCATAACGGAGAAGCCCGTTATGCTAAAATTATCCCATGTTTCCCACTATTGTTGATGTCCCTGGCATACTCTCAAAACTAGACAGTGATTCCTTATATTTCCATTTTACTGTGAAATAAAATTTTAGACTTAGACATTAAAAAAGTAGACTAATAGATTTAAATTACAAGGACTTATGCCAATTTCAGTAACAATCAAACACAAAGGCAGCCGCACGAGATTTTTATGCATATTTGGCCTTCTTAGCGTCAGACACAGAGACAGATGCGCACGAGATTTGCATGCGTATATATATATATTAACCTGCCTAATTAAAATCCCGGCAGAATTATCAAGAAATAAATTCCCCAAACTTTCAAACAGTTATCACAGAGAAAAAAAAATAGAAATGGAAATATTAAGTGATTAGCTTGCGTGATGAAGGCATTAATTTATGCATGATATTTATATGCTTGATAATCATCATCACAACAATTTTGATTCAATGTTGCCCCATATAAAATACATGTATTTAAAATTTGTTGTTACACTGAACAAATTTTAAATGAAAGAACCCAATTTATATTTTTAGTACTGAATAAATTTTGTTTTAACTTCAGCAAGTTCAACATTTTCAAAATGTTTGATCATGTACTCGACGTTAAGTGTATATAAGTAAATTAAGTGGTAGACTTCGGAAATGTATTCTACTAGACACAAGTTTCAATTTAAATAAGGAGCAAATTATTTATTGTTTTAACTGTATCAAAACACATTTTTATACTTTCATTTATTTTTCTTGTATAGAAACAAAAAAATTTAATCACTGATAATTTATTTTGTTTTGATAAATTATAAGAATTTTAAATTTATTTTAGCTAGCTTGAATTTTCAAGTAGGATTGGCTGTAGATTTATTTCTGATTGTAGAGACGATCAGATTTGTTAATATACAGATTTGTAACAATTAAATGTTTATACACATTGGCCCAATGTTGGTCAAATATATCGGGCTAACATTGGGCAAAGGAGCAAAATGACACTGGGCTAACGTCATTTGCCAACATCGGCCCAATGTTCTTGTTGACGTTTTGCCAACAATGTCGCATTCATTGGGCCAATGTTGGCGCAACGTTGGGCCAATATCTGTAGAAATAACACTCTATATTGGGCCAACGTTGACCCAACATATCGGGCCAACATTGGGCCGATGAGCAAACTTAAATTGGGTCAATGCCATTTGCCAACTTTTGCCCGATGTAACCGATTACATTGGCCCAACGTTGGCCCAATGACTTAGCATGCTATCTGTACAGTGTTAACCCAACAGCACCTGGCCTCTGCACTTCCCCGTGTCTGATTTACACAGATTTGTACATGATATCGTTTAAAAACTAGACGTTAATTCAGCTATGCCGAGGCAAACATATTATTAATACTTACAAAGTGGATGCAGATATGCAAGGTATCAGTTTCATTACGCTCGTGTCAGACTAAAAATGGCGCGGATATTACAAGTAGCCCGGTTGTTGTCTACCCATGATGCTCAGTCAGATTCATGGTATATTGGGCCAACGTGGGGCCGATGCCAATCCCCAAACAAATATTTTCTCTCATGATACTGTAATAGTTTTATGATATAATGCCAACAGTTAGCCCAACATTAGCGCACTATTATACATAACCAGCTATCAATATTCCATGTTGGGCCATTGTTGGCCCAATCAAGGTAACCCAACATAGATAATAGAACCATAATGTAAGATTGGGACAACAGTGTTCTGCTATCTGGGTTATTACAAATAAATAAGCATATACACAATTCAAAAAATAGCATAAAACACTCTTTGGTGCTTGATCACTTAAGTGCAAAGTTAAAATGTTGAAAATATCATGTCATCCAATGATAAGCATGGACATAGAAAGTCCTCTTAATTATTTTAGAATGTGCCAACGTTGTCCCAACGTAAAGCTCAGCAGCTAATTATAAAATTGACACCATCAATTAGTTGGCAGTATACTAGTAATAATTTGGCCAACGTTGGCCCAATATAAATATCCCATCTTTGAAAGACCTAAACAAAATAACACTTGTGTGTATTACAAACATTGTGCCAACGGTGGGCCAACATACTACTACCAACTTGATAGGACACGTTCTTTAAGGGTGTATTACAAACAATGGGCCAACGTTGGGCCAACATATCACTACCAACTTGATAAGGCACTTTCTTAAAGGATGTATTAAAAACATTGTGCCAACGTTGGGCCAACATACTAGTACAAACTTGATAAGGCACTTTCTTTAAGGGTGTATTACAAACAATGGGCCAACGTTGGGCCAACATACTACTACCAACTTGTAAATACACTTTCTTTAAGGGTGTATTACAAACATTGGTCCAACGTTGGGCCAACGCCATGATCCTTCCTTCTTTCAAAACTAAAGTGAATGGAAGTTGCTTGCGTTGGGCCAACGTTGGGCCAACATAGGAATTCCATCATGGTCGAGAAGGTTGACTTGGTAACATTGGTCCAACGTTGGCCCAACGTTGTTCCCCCAACGCCAACCATACAACCTTTAACAAATGTTGGCCCAACATAGTCATGCTATCTGGGATTGAGATTGATAAATTAAGGTCAAATGTGTTTGAGACAAATTGAGTGTTGAGCCAACTTTAGAACTGTATGATCGGTAGAAGTGTTCGAGTGGTTAACCAGTATGGTATCAGGTGTACATACGATTATATAACTCACTCACCCGATCCCAGGACAGCCAAGAGCAAGAAAGAACCTGCCTCCTCCACTCCATCGTCTCAAGCCACGGTTCGGAGTCCGCATATATAGCTCTCTCCAGATGGGAGAGGAGCGAACATTTTGGCGGTGGTTTGCGACGATGCCTCCACTCTATATCTAGAGTTTTATTTAATGATGGAAATAAATTAACCGCCTGTTCTGTAAGAACTTTTACCATGATCGTTGCTTTAAACAAATTATATTTATAAAATAATTACATGTATCCACTTTAAGATAATCATAATTAGGTCAGTTTTGTTGATATATATATATATTAATTTAATTAAATGTACATGTATTATGTATAAATATCAGTATAGGCTACGAGAATGTTTCTATTTATTTTCGTGCTGAATAGGTGATATCAATAATAAATTGCTCCCTATAATATATACATTACCACTGGAACAGAGAAAATTCAGGCTACCCAGTTTTCATGCATTTTTCCAATTTTTCTTAAAGTTTACATGATAGATAAGTGAAATAAATTAATTTGAGAGCAAAACAAACTACAAATTCTGTTGGGGTTGATTAAAGTTAAATGCAAAAATGTAATCTATTGTCTCCTAGAATGATGAGTTATAAAACGAAAGTGAAAGTAAACTAGTGCTAATTGTAACGGGAACCGTTACAGATGTTCCCCAAACGCTCCCCAACGCCCTTTTGGTGCCATATTCCCTGTAAGCTTCATTAAATAAGACAAACTCTGTGCATTTATGACTTTAACAACTTTTCCCAGAAGGATACCAATTATATTCAAATTTTAGCATTGCACCCGTGCGCATGTGAATGCATGTGCGATATGATTATATCATCTTGTCTACACTATCTATATAT